GAGCTTTCAATCAAAGGAAAGAAATCCAACCCTACAAATATATAGAGGATAGTACTTACGTCAATATGATGTGGAAGAAAGCTGCATCTCAATGAAAATTCAGATTGTTGTTGAAATTTCTAGAAACTGTTTGCATTTGAAGAGCTGCTCTTTTTGCAGAACAGCTATGAGCTGTTGATCTGAAGGAATTTGCTGTTTCGTTTGGATCATATATGTGTGTTATCTGTTATTTTCAGTATGAATATTAGTTATGTTAATAAAATGTTGGTGCAACTTTTCTAAGAAGATAGCCCAACAAAATTCACTGTTGGTGGAAGGCAACTGAAAAGATGGTGGTAGTTTTGATGTTCCAGTAAAGATCACAGTGATCAGCTGTAGACAGATTTATAAGGTAGTCTTGCTATTTTATTTAGCTTATTTATTTAGCTTTATTCAGCTTATTTAGGAATTCTTGGGATATTGTTTGTCTGCACATGTCTATCTATAGGAGATCTTGTGTTTCTTCACTGCTTCCATTTTCATTATTACAGAATTTGTTTTAGAAATTATGGAACATCTGCTTTAATTTTTTTTTTTACTTACACAAAACTAGAAGAAATATGCCAAAGTTTAAACAGAACTTGAATGTGGTGCTAACTTATATGTATGTTGTGGTGGTTGTTCATACTTCTTGTATGAAGTGGTTTCTCAATTGTTTACCCTTCTTAGCATTAGAAATATTTGATATGTCTTTAAATCAATTCAGATATAAAGGATTATAGACATATTATGCCATATAATCAAGCTTATAGAACCCTATCCAAAGAAAAAGGTCCTCTTTTTTATTTAGGAGACAAGATGAGTTACATTAGTCAGAGAAACAACTGTGAATGTAGCCCGCCTTCCACTTAGTGTCTGGAAGGTTGGAACAGAACATTTCTCCTTTTCAAACAGAGATTTATGTACTGGCAGTTATTTCTTTTGAATGGGGATAATCAGGTGTTAGAAATTCTTAGAATACTATGACAGAAAGAATGCAATTCTCTGGCTTCTAGGAGAAGAGAATATTCCTGTGCTTTTGGGAAAGCGAGTCTTAGGTCAGTGTTTCCTGACAAGGCTTTCAGTCTCTTAAGAAGCTTGAATCCCTTGAGTTGGAATGGCAGGCAGGGAACTGCATATATTGAAAATACAGTGGTATCTGTGGCAATAGGAAAGCTGCAATTCACATTCCCTTCAAAGCAGAGGCCACTACAAGAAACTATTTGGAATAGGAAAGGATCATAATTATTTTAGTGCTGAAATCAGTAAAGCTTTCTTTGAGGACTGCTTTTGTATTTTCATTCATTATTTAAATTTATTATTTTATTACTGTGGTAAAGACCAGATTAATTTGCTAGACTATTAAGGATGTTAAAAGCCTAGCAAAATGAATTAGAATGCTTGCATTGCTAAAACCTAAAGGTAAGCATAAGAAACTGCTTATTGTGGGGGGAATCTTTACCATTTAAATTAGCTATGAAACTACACAGAATTAATAAATTAGACTTCTGTGTAATTAATATCTATCTGTAAATACATACAATATTGATATATTAATTCATTAATGTATCATTTTACAAGAATTCTGGTTTTTTTAATTTAGAAATTGCCTTTTCAAACTAGCAACAGCTGCTATGTTTTAAAATAGTTAATGACTCAGCAGAATACAAATCTTGCGAATGGATTTCTAGTCCAGTTTTATTTTAAATTATATACTCAAAAACTATCTCATCAAGTTTTGATTGAAAAAACGATAAAGCTATTTTGTCATTCAGAACTTGTATCTGTATTATGGATGTGTAGTGTAGATGTAGTGTTTGATGTGCTGAATTCACATACAAGAGGGAGATTGAACTGAAAAGCATGAACAGTTATTTGTAGCTTCATTATTTAGTAACAGAAATAAGAAATATTTGCCTTGAAAAAGAACAACTTTTTAATTATTTTTTATAGCATTCTGCAGCATATGCTTTCAATGTAGTCTGTATCAAATAAATAATCTGTAAGGTAGTACTTATTTCCTAGCTAAAGAAATTCTGCCAGGTGACTAACTTTTAAGCTTAAGTCCACTGACTGCCTTCAGATACAGATTCCTGGTGGCTTTTGGCATAGCAGTGACTTGTCTAATTGATCAGGGCCAAACTTTGTATCCCCTGGCTTCATAACTTACCTGGTAGATATATCTAGGTGTATAAATAAAGGTTTCCTTTTGAAAAACATAAGTTTTAAACAGAGGTCTAAAAAATTTCCAAGTCACCAATCTTTCATTTTATTTCTTTTATTCTACTTGAGGTGATTTGACAGATAAAAATCACATACAGTGTTCGTCAAAGACCTGGCATGGGTTTTTTTTCCAGACCTCTTCAGTTTGGCTGTTTTAAAGTGTAGATAAAGATATTAAGTGTTTTGATACCCGATGTAATTTTTAAGAATGTAATAGAAGATTCCGTTTTTCAAAGTACCAACTTAAAATGATTTGGCTAAATGTCAGTTACATTTTCATTGAGAATAATTTTATTCTCCTTGTGTTATGGCCAATAAAAGACACTGAACTTTTAAAGCCAAGAATCCATGAAAACTTGTACACATTAATGTATTTCAAATAGTCTTGTGGCTTGCCAAACTAATTATTATATGGGTTAGAATAGAAAAGGCGCCTCTAAAAGTGCTTTTAATGCTGAACTAGAGAATCCTTAGGACTTTAAGTTTTACATGTCTTCTGACTGTTTGCCTCAGAATATAAGCAAAATATTCAGGAATGATGGTATATCTCTTTCTTTTCACCATGGGATCTTCTTTTGGGGCAGCAGCAGTTTAGTGCTGTAGGTGTGGGGTTTTTAAAGAGATCCTATGCCAGCTTCCTTAGGCATATTCTATGGATAGTATGGCACAAAAGTTATAGTGCTGCGCTAAAATAATACCAGGTTATAATAGATCCAATAGATATTGCAAAATAGCTCGTATTTTTTTAAAACAGTTCATAGAAAATATTTGGGTAGCCTTTTGGTGGTTATTTTTAATTTAAAATTAATATTAATCTTGTAAGTAATACTACTTAGTTACCTCTAAAATTTTTATTTAGTCAATATTACAGAATTCTAAAATACTTTAATCTTTTGTAATTTCTGTGAGTTATTTTGAACAAAGAAAAGTACTACATGGAAATGAGATCTCAAAACACAATGTGACTTTTTTTTTAAATATATAACAAAGAATAAATGCAACTAACCTGCTTAAAGCAAACAATATAAAAATTTCTTTTTTGCTTTACACAATTTCTGCAGAGTAGACCTTCCTTTTAAAAGGAACTTCGGATATGCCAATACAGCTGGATATGTGCTAATTTGAACTGATTTGTGTGTGTGTATGTAGCTAAGTGTAAAAGTTGGCATTCAAATCTTTGCAACTTGTTACTTCCAATATTCCCTAAACCGATATTCTGAGGTATAGGAAATTACTTGAAGAACTACATTACTGGGAAACGAAACTTTAGCAGTAACAATTCTTCTCTGAACACGGGAAATGACTGAAAATGTCCATCAACCTTTTCAACAAGGATGTGAGTTGTTCACAGGAATCTTCAGTACAGTGTAACAATCAAGTTATTAGGATTTACCAACAATATTTCTTCTTGAAGTAGAAAGGAATGTTCTGTTTTTATAAAAATAAAAGCCTTTTAAGTCTGCAGAGTGAAATGAGTGAAATCAATGGGTGCTGATGTTTGTGACATTCCGTTTCCTAGGTATGTAGGCTAGGAGGAATCAAGCACCTGGTTGATCTCTTGGATCACAGAGTCCTTGAAGTTCAGAAGAATGCTTGTGGTGCACTGAGAAACCTTGTTTACGGAAAGTCTACTGATGAAAACAAAATAGCAATGAAGAATGTTGGTGGGATACCTGCCCTTTTACGATTGTTGAGAAAGTCGATTGATGCTGAAGTAAAAGAGCTTGTGACAGGTAAGTTTTGAATAGAAACAAGCAGAGAACTATAATACAGATTATTTTTCTGAAGTGGACAAGACTGAAATAACTGGTAAGTGACTGGAATTGAGTGTATTGACTGGATTTTTATTTGTGCATTGGTATTTTTTGTGAATACAAAATCACTTATTTTGATTAACAGTTAAAGTATTAGCATAGAAGTACAGAATCACAGCAAGAAGTGAATCTTGAGGTAGTTGCACTAATGCTCCAGTCTAGGGTAAATTTTCCTCTGATATGAGTCTCCTACATACACAGCTAGGTCTTGGATAGATGTTTCTTTATTGACTTGTAACATTTGTTTTATTACAGTTTTAAATAAGATCTTGCAGAATTCGTAAGATGGACCCAGACTATGTAAATTTGTGTTGAAGTACAGACAGAAAATTGCAAGTGTGCAAATTATAGAAGCATCTCAGTGCACAGCCTGCTAGTAGAGACATGGCAAGTGACTTGTGTACACATTCCCAGTCTCTTGAGTATGAGGTAGTAGCAGATTTAGCTTGTAACCCAGGAACCTACTTGGCACTTGGTGCAGACAGTACAGAAATAATAAATCATTTGCAGTTGTAACACATGAAGGAACTCCATTTTCATCAAAACAGGATGGATTTGTTGGGCACTGCATCCATCTGCTCTCTCTTTTTCTTAATATGGGAGTGATTTGTCTGTGAATATTTTAGGCGATTGAAAAATATGAAAGGATAGAAAAAAGCAGAGTTTTCACTTTCTTTAAACAGTTCCTCTTTCAAGTTTTAGTAGCTCCCTTGTTCAGTTTTGTTAAGCTACAAAGCTTAACTACTTACCTACTAAGCAAAGCTGCACAACAGTGCTCAAGTTAGAAGTAACAGAGGTGTCATACTGGGACCCTTTCCAAGTTATTTCCTTGTTTAGTAAAGGGATTAAGTAGAGAAAGGACTCTGTACAGAATGTATCCAAAGCATTTAAGTTCATATGCAGGCAATTTTCCTTAAGTATTTTCCACATAAGCAAGCATTAAGATGACGTGCAGCTTTCATGTTCTCTCTAGAAGGATATCGTTTTTTCCGTAACTATTCCATTTACATAATTTCGTAAAACTAGAATTAGACATAACTGCCTTGCCTGCTCTACAAAAGTCATGGTTTATGCATCTAAATTACTTATGCTTTTAAGATGTTAGGGATGGTTCCACAGACAAAGCTGAAGTCAAATTCTTAATTATGGAAGGTATGTAGTCACTGTTAAAAAAAACCACCCTAAACTGTTATCTTTCAAAAAAGATATAGCACATTATCTGTAAGTAAAAAGATTTTTCAAATAAGTATGGTATTGAATTTGAATTATAATTAAAGAGGACCACTTCAGAAAAAGTGACTCTTACTTTTTAACACATATATTTTTAATTTTTTTAACCACCTACAACAAAATGGAAAGTTTTGACCTAATTGTCTTCTGGTTAAGTCAGTTGCCTTGACTTCTGTTAGACTTAGACCACTGCTGAATGCTTGAGAAGAAACCACGGCAGACTTTTGGAGCTCAGGGATTTTTAGATATTTTCTATAAATAGTAATATAAAGAAAAGAAGAGGAAAAGATCCAATGATTATTTGTTTAATAATTAAAAAACTCCACCTATGTTGGAACTAAAACTAGCAAAATACACCGAGTTTACTATGTTCCCAGATTAAGGTAATGGAAATACAGAGTAATTAGTATCAATCTACACCACTAGAAACACTCTGTGTCTGATTTCTAGTTTAAAATTAGCACTATTCATTACTGCTATAGTTTATTCATAATTTTTTAATTAAAATGGATTTTCCAGTGTAACATTTCTTAAAGAAGTACAGTGCTTTTATTTTTCCTGAGGATGGTTTTTCTTCCTTAGTAAATGAATTATACTTTCATTATTTAGCAGTACGAATTGCCTTTGAAAGAAAACAGGTATATCTGGTGTAATTGCAAGTCACATTCATCCAGTTTACTTTAATACGCAGTTAGGGAGATGAAAACTTTATTACCCCAGATAAGTGAAATTAGAATAACAAGCTTCTTGCAATCTGTGTGGATGTTTTTCAGATTAATTCATTTATATAAAATTTGTGAGGAATTATTTAGTCAAAAGCAACCTTTTAGCCTCAGAAATTATTTGGGAATATGCCCTAAAGATTAACTATGCTAAGTTTGAAAAGCTGGCAGACTGGGGGAAAGTTTAACTGCACAAATATGTTTTAGAGGAGTTAGAAAACAGTAGGAATGCTGGGGTCTATATTTAATTAACAGTAACTGAAATGACAAGATTGAAATGCAAAGAGATAAAGAAGTGGAAACTGAATAGAAAGTTACATTGAAAAATACAGAAAGTGTAATTGCAAAAACAGCAAGAATGTTTTAAGAGGAAAGCAAGTTAACTTTTTAATGGCTGTAGATCATTCAGAAAATAAAATGTGCTAAATCACTTTTCATAATCATTATATGAAAATGGAAGTAATACTACTTTAAAAAAAATAATCTTTAGAAGTTGGACTTTGGAATGCATTGAGAGAGGAGAACTCTTCACTGAGCTTGCTCTAGTTGCATGCGGTTTCTGCTGCTGCTGACCCATGGCTGCGTTGCTGTCCTGTGCTCTGCAGTCAAAGAGCCCTTAGAAGGGACAGTACTCTTTTTTTTTTTTTTTTTTTGGTAACTGCAACACATTTCATTAGATTTCAGTACAAGCGCTGTGTGGAGGCTACTGTTTTTCACATTCCAGCACAGCTTCAGCACTAGGCAGCAGAAATATTGTTGGGGCCTTCCTGACTGTGTCCAGGAGCTCCATTCCCTAGCAAGTGACTTGAAGGACGTGCACTGGTTTATGCTGTCTGGTTATGTTTTTATGTTGCAGTCAGCACAGCCTGGAATTGATCTGTGAATTTCAGGATCTCATGTCTTGGAAGGCTTATACTGCAGAAAACTGTCTATGGAGTAGAAATCAAAATACACATGTTCTTGAACCCAGGTGCAGCTTTGAACAAATGAGTCTACTTTCAAGAGACCCTCAGAAACAGCCCTTTAGTATGTTAAAATGTAGGAAACACTGGTGTGCTCCACTACTGTGAGTTTTCTAGAGAAAGCGAGTCAGATGCCTGCCATAATAGTTTCTTGATTTTCATCAGATCTTCAGCAGCAGAGATGAGCCACAAACCATGCACTCTCCAGAGAAAGACCTCTGATCCACTCTTTTGAATAGCTGGTTTTCTGTCAGGATTCCTCCCTGAAAGGTCAAGCAAGTGACAGTGCTGAACTTGGGGGAGCAGTATGATTTTATAGCTGGGAGGAAGGAAGAATGAACACAAATTCCAGCAACAATTAATTACTAGCTTAGCTGTATGGTAATGTTGTGTCCTTAAAGGGGAAAGAGGTGGTTGTTGATGGTCTTGGCAATTCTTCATAGTTTATTTCTTCAAATTAGTACTACCTCAGCCAGTTCAGTTGAGAAATGCTGTTCTCTGTCCAGCAGCACAAGCTTTTGTATACACGGTGTCATCTTTGTGAGAGATTGCATTCTTGCAGCAGTTGACACTGTACATTGTTGCTTGTGTATTTTTGGAAAAGGGACCCAGCAACCTGAGGTAACTTTTGAGAAGGTACAGAAATAGCTGTACAGAAAGGTACAGAAAGACCCGCACAATTTTGCAAACTAAGCACTCTGCGAAATGGGTATAGTTTCCGTTCACAGCATTCAGAGCATTAATGTTACTCTAATATTTACCTCAATTCTACTCTGTATACAATCCAGATTACTTTGTGATCAACTGTGTAAAACCTGCAGAGGCAGTGTATGATCATCGATGTTCAGCAGTGGACCTCCAAGCTGGTGCAGCTGCTGAAGCATTCCTACTAAACCTGCTACCCATTTGGTTAATGCTACCTGATAGTGAAATTCATTGCAGTAAGCTAGTCTCGGGTCTTAAAAATCTGGATTAAAATGCGAAGATTCAAAATCAAAATAAAGCATGAAAAATGTGGCTGGATACAGAGGAGAAACAAAGTGCAGTGCTTTAGCACTGGTAATGCCAGAGTTCCACGAACAGCTGAGCCCCTGCAACACCCCAGAGTACAAAGCCATTCAGCAAGGAATGGGCAAATCATACTTTTTCTCTTTCCCATCTAGAAATTTTATCTGAGGATTTTTCTTTTTTCTTTTTTTCTTTCTTTTTTTTAAACACATGGCTTAAGCTTGACTTTAAACAGCTAAAGCTGTTGACTGGAGACAGAGACATCATTATACATTGATGTTTCATGTATTCTCTGAATTAGATAACGAAATACAGCTTTGAAGAGTTATGACATAAGGGATTTTCTGAACAGAGCAATGATTTTACAGTCCTATTACAGTTGCTTAAGTTACATCAGTAATGTAATCAGTTAGACACTGAACTTGTAACCGGTAGAAACAAGCCATCAAACGAAAATCCTTACAATACTAAAAGCTGATGAACTGGAGAGAAGGTGGTTTTTAATTATCCTCACGCTTCATTGCTATCTATTGGAAAAGACAGGTTTGTCACCTGAAAATATTGCCATAGATCCAACTCCAGAAGGATTATGAATAATTATCAAAAATTTTGTACATCCAAATAGTCAGGAGACAATTGTCGTAATATTTTTCCCTGAGGAGAAAATGTTAGAGACGCAGAGGTGTTAGGAGATACTTCCCATGCAACAGCTTCTCTCAGTTCAGGAACATTGCTAGCCTGTCATTCAGGAAGAGCTGCTAAGGATCAACAAATTCATTCGGTCCTGCCTTGCTTCTGATGAGCAGTGAGAAAGATGAAGCCAAACTTCTGCTTACAGATTACAGCTCTTCTAGTCGCTCCAGCAACTGTCTATTAATTAATAAAATATTTACATGTGATGTACTGCTATTGCACTATTTTCTGCATTGCATATGCCTTAGCACATAATGATAGAAAAACAGCAGTGACATTTCATATACATTGCTTTCATACTTTT